TTGAAATCAAAGTTGAGGATTAAATCACGAAGGAAATTGAGGCTTCCAGTAACAGAGAACAGAACAGACTGGCAACAGCTACACAGAGAAAACTCGGGGACTCTACAATTTTCAGCTGCTGTGGCCAGGAGGAAGGAGGATGGCACCTGCCAGAAGAGACACATTGTTACATGCTGCGCCTGCACACGGGCCCCATTTGAGGGGCCCGACGGCTGCTGAGGGCCCCCCAGGTCGCGTGCCATCCAGCATGCGCCCTGGAGGCCCATGGCGGCCCTTTGGGCCGCAGGTACCATTTGAGGCAGCTTTCACTTATTTATTTATTTATTTACTGAGTACGGACGCCGCCCGGCCGGCCGGGGCCCGGGCAGGTCGCCCGGGCAAACCGGGCGGGCCAAAAAACAGCCCAGAAATATATATATATCGTCACAAACAGAACTGCCCGGTAAACCGTAGGCATATATATATATTTTTTTTTTGAGGGCGGGGTTTCACTGTGCTCGGCGAGAGGACCCCGAATCTGCAATAAAATTTTGATTTTGGTTTTGGTTTTGGTTGTCTGGTGTGAGGGGGGGGGGTTGGGGTGGGGGGGGTTTATGGGTGTTGGGGACTCTGCAYGTATGTTGCCTGCTGTTTTGCTGCATGTGTGATACCGAGTATATACTAGGTTGGGGTCTCACGCGACCTCACGCGACCTGCGAATACGATGGAGAAGATGGTGGCGGCGGCAGGGCGGTATGGTGTGGTAGTGGTGTATGGCGATGGGCTGTGGCGGCGGTCCACAAGAAGAAGAATAAGACGAAGAAGAAGAAGAAGAAGAAGAAGATGGGCGGAAGAGGAGGAGGAGAGATGAGGAAGGAGAAGAAGATGAGGGGGAGGCGAAGGAGAAAAGAAGAAGAAGAAGAAGAAGATGAAGATTTTTTATTTTTTTTTAACCTGCCGCGCCTCAGGCGACCTGCAATACGATGGAGAAGATGGCGGCGGCGGCAGGGCGGTATAATGTGCTGGCGGAGTATGGCGACGGGCTGTGGCGGCGGTCCTACAAGAAGAAGAAGAAGAAGAGGAATGAGATTGGTGGGAGAGGAGGAGGAGGAGAGAAGCCGAAGGAGAAGAAGATGAGGGGGAGGCGGACGAGAAAAGAAGAAGAAGAAGAAGAAGAAGAAGAAGAAGAAGAAGAAGAAGAAGAAGAATGGCGGCTAGGGTTTCGGCGGCGGTGGAGGGGAATG